TTCCGCACGATGGGCAATGACTTGGAACTAGTGCCATGGCGCTCAGGCGCTGATATTGATATCTCTGAGTCACAGACTTAGCGAAACAAAATCAGATTTGAATTCGGCATTTTCCAGATACTGACATGTCATCCTCATCACTCAAGTTTAATATCGCTACTTTGCAATCACTGTCAGCACTTGCTTCCTGCCCTGATGATTCTTCTCGCTCCAATAATGAATACAATGAGGGAGCACCTCGTGGTATATGTGACCTATACGAAATTCTCGAAGCTGTAAATTCAATTGTGAGTCCATCCGAGTCGTCATTTCCGCCATTTTTCATCACACCTTATATTGGAATAGCCCGGAGTCCATGAACCAACTAACACCGAGGCAAGCCTTGTGCTGGATCTTGCAAGAGCCAAGCGTGATGTCTTCCTCGCTCAGAAAGAGCTTGCAGACTGCATGATACGGGAAAATGAGGTGTTTGCGAGCCTGCTCAGAGTCCGTGCAGCAGCAGCCGAGAAGATGATAGATCAGACAGATATTGGGCTGGGATGTATGAGAGTTGTTTTTAGAGACCACGGTTGGTCCCACATCCCTCCCAGTCGTCCGTCACAAGAACAAGGTCCATCAAGTTTGCGTGGTACGTGTGTCCTTTCTCTTGCAATATTGTTGATTCTAATGCTTCACACTTGGAAGGTTTACACAGGCGACGTTCTGGAATAATTCTTAATTGATTATTCGAGGTCTTGTATCATCATTTTGTGTTATGTTGTCCTTGTCTATATATTTGGTATTTCCATAGTTATGCTATGTAGCTTTGAGCCATATGTTCCGAATCAATTCTTGTCACACTTTTGTTCGAGTCCGGCTGAGCCTCAAGTCAAACAACTTTATAGTACTAGATTATGACCTTGGCCCTGTTTAACTGTGAGTCTTGTTTAGCTATGAGCGACTGTAATTGTTGTGTCGCTATGAACTGTGAGCCTGTGTGAACTGTGGAGCCTCGTGACTTACTGTTGTGAGGCCCCATGTGTGTGACCTCTGTGAGAAAGTTGTAGTTTACTGATGTTGCTGAAGAGATCAATGTACTCAATCAAAGCTCAGAGAGTGCATCAGGGTATGATATTGATGCACTTTTGACTCATGAGTATAGCTTAGTGTAGTACTCAAAACCATTTTTGCCATAGTACAAACATAGTTGAAAAGAGCTAAAAACGCTCACAATACATTTTGCCGACTTTTGCCATTCTGCCAATTGCCATTCTGCCGTTCTGCCATCTGCCAAGAGGCCAATTCCTTTCTGCCCACGACACTAGTATCAGGTAAGCAAGTAGGGAAAATCCAGTTCCATGCACTATGAAAGGTGTAGTGAACGAGCTTGAGAAAGTGAGGAAAGGCGGTCATGACAGGCGCCCAAAATTTTCAAGCGACCGCAGCGACGATTAAGTATCAATCATGATGGAAACGCAGTACGAAGGACCTCCCACAAGATAGATTCACGACCCGGGAGCTCGGCCCTGAATCAGCTCAGCAGTTAGGTGCAGGGGGAGCGAGGGACTGAACACCCGGTGTAGTTCTATGTAGCAAGAACAGCGAAGGTGGCTCAAATTACTTTCCAACTCCGGTTAGATACTCTGTACAAAATATGCTGCTATACATCTCGGCGCAGCGTAGATTTTATCTATACAAAATATGAATGAGAGCACTGCCAAGGTAGTTTGTAATACATATGCAAATATGGTAGAGCGATGGGTGTTGAAGACCACAAGAAAACAAAAAACAATCTGTCGAGTGATTCCAATAGATACTGGTGCTTACAAGGAGCTCCGTACGACGTCAGTAGCGGGCGATATGACAGCCACCAATACTGAAATATCTGCAGACTCTTGAGAACAGTGCAAGTCTTGAAGTCAATAAACGCACCATCTATCTTGCCGCCTCTGAATGGTTTCCCTGATTCTCTTGCACGACATGCAAACGGCACCTCATCCTCCATATCAAACACGCCGTCCTCGATTCCTCGCCCTCTTCTCTCGCTCACGCGACGCGCACGGGAACAGAGCGCCTCGCTCAGCATGCCTGCTAGCGTTCGACGGCCCAAAAGACCCTCACCACCTTCCCCGTTACTCTTTAGGAAAGACCGCTTGAACCGTACTACTTCGTCCAGTACCTCATAATCCCATAAGTTATCAGAGAGCCCGTCGGAAGCGAGAATGAGGATATCGTCTGATTGGACTGGGAGGCTGAGGATCTGGGCGTCTAGAGGGCGTGCAGAGGATGCGGGACCGAGCTGCACAGGTGTGTTAAAGGCTGTCCACATCTCTTTGCTGCGCCAAGCGATGTTCTCGTCGCGCACCAGCATACCCATGCAGTCTCCGAGATGGGCGATCTTGAGTACTGCGTCATGAGTTTCTTTGCGAGATGCTGTATCTGGAGGATTCTGGAAGATGAATGGGCGGGGTGGGGAGGTAGCTGGGGGAGGCGTGCTGGAAGAGTGTTGGAGGACTGCGACGAGCGCTGTTGAAGAGCCTGTCATGAGGGGGATCATCTTTGGAAGGGAAAGTTCTGGTGCGTGTGGGGTGGACTGTGGGGAATCTGCACAGTTGGTGAGAGGTGCTTCCTCAGGTATGGATGCGAGTCCTGGAGATAAGGCTGCCTTCGTAAGCGGACAGGGAGGCTCTGGAATAACATGAGCCTTGAGAGTGGTCTCATATGCACGTTCGAGGATCATTAGGACATCCAGTCCGTCTTCAAGATCCTCTAAAGAGTCTTCGAGCTCTTCATGAAGTTCGTCTATTTTGGCCTTCCAGGGCCATGCAGCATTGTGGGCCGTGGATGCCGGATGCCGGTGGGGTGATTTGGACCGAGGAGGGGATGCATCTCGGCGACGGAATGATAAGGTCTCGGCTTGGAGGGCCTCTGCCGAACAGTGGTGCATTAGTCGGCGGGCAAATAATGCACTAGGTGATGGATCTGTGGAGATATGCTTTGATGAACCAACGTCTGAGACATATGGATAAGGATACGAAGAATCTGATGAAAGTCTTCAAACATACCAGGTGTCTTGGCTCTTGACCAACCGCCAACACCGTCTGCAACGCCCATAGCATTCTCCTGTATAAAATAGGCATCCTCGCCAACTTGGACGGCGAAACTGAGATCCTCTTTCTGAGGGTGGGGGTCAATCTTTCGCCAATTATTGCTATTGCCATTGCCGCCGCCTATGACTATACCTCTCCCTGAGACTTGGGCTTTGGTCTTCTTCGGTATGCCATAAGCGCCAACATCCAGATGGTAGCGAACCTTTTGTTTCCTTTCTCGTGGATGAGAGTCGGTGACGGAGTCTGCGACGGCGATATTGTAAAAGGGTATCGGCGCGAACGGTGAGTAAGGAAAGAAAGAGGAAGACTGGTGTGAAGGGGGAGTGTGGGGAGGGGAATTTGAGTTTGCCTGAGGTGATGTTAGAGCCAAGGAAAATGGGGGCTGTCCATGTGATTGATGGGCAGAACCCTCGCCCTCTGCCTTGACAGGAAGGCGGGATGTTGAGAGAACGTGGGGTTTGCTAGGCTGTGGCTGAGGTGGAGGCGGTGAGTCAAAAAAAGCAAGTGGACTGGAGGAATTGATGGGCGCATTGTAAAGAGAACGAGCAGAAGGCGTTGAGCCAGATCGTCGACGGGAAATTGGGGATGTGGAAGGTGAAGATGCAGATATGGAGCGGGGAATGACAGTATAAAAACGCTTTTGAAAGGTCTTCATCGTTGGACCTGGTGCACTCATGTTGAGCAGAGCGTCGTGCTCAATGAGCAGAGACTATTATTGTTGTACTTGATACAAGTATTGATGGAGGATGTGAGAACACCAAGTGCGGGGTTTGACCGGAAGAACTCGGGTGGTGTCCGGATCGTCTTTACCCAGGAGGTCACAAGTCAAATTCACACGTTTTGATTGGTCAGGTGCAGCCACCATCACATTGTGACACACCGGCGGTTTTTTTTGCACTATGCAAGATTTGTTTTGAAATGTTGATGATAAAGTTGGCATTCTTACTATACATTTTGACACAGTAAAAATGAAAAAAATTGGATGAGTGGACAAATCCTGAGTGAAATTCCACATTTTATGAATCATTTTGACATTAGTGGCGTTCAAAGTAATTTCCTGAAAACTCGGTAAGCTTGGTAAGCTCCGTGAAACGTCGGCTAAAGTATCTTGAGTTTCGCTGAAGTTCAGGGTTAGTCAAGTATGGCGAACATCGACATGTCGTCGGAGTGTGAAATGTAATGCCTGCCCTACGACCACGACTTTGTCGGTCTGCACGCCTGCAGACCATCTCTCAAAACATCAACATACCATGTCGCAAGGACAACACCGGGAAACGAATGGACCCACCAACTCGTGGAAGGGGGAGACGGGGAAGGGGAGGGGCTAATATACAAGACTCATCACCAGCCACGATTTCGTGGCATAACGTCCCTATGCCCACCAACAAGCTCGTCGATTTCCTCGTCGAGCATCCGCCAGACTGTGCCATCTTATTTGCGACCGAGAGTAAGAAGTCCAGCAACTATCACGCTGACTTGGGCCGTGCATTGGGCAAGGACAAAGGGGAGATCTACAGTGTGATTGCAAAGGTAATCTTTCACGACGATGCTACGTATGGGAGTTGGTATGCCACCAACCCCATCAAGTTCCGTGACTCTGTGGCCAATCGCATCACATTGTAAGTACTTCTCCGTCTATCGCAACTGTGCTAACTGGATGATCTGAAGTCTAAGGACTAAATTCCATGATATTCGTGCCGAATTTGAGTCTACAGGTGCGAGCATCGTGCCAATTGACTCGGAGGCGTCTGACAACTTACATCGTGAGTATCCCACTCATGTCTTATCAATACCGCTAACAAATTCATAGGTAAAATCGAGAAAGAATTTCCATGGTACAATGACCTCTACCGGATATGGGGATCCAACCCCTCGTTTTCTGCCAAAACGAGCTCATCAAAACCAGGTGCTGACCACGCCGGTGACCTATACGCGCTGACTCGTCTGGCGGGAGGTTCGCGGAACCCTCCTTCAGACACCCATCCGCAACTCAACATAATCATCCCTAACCCTGCCACAGGCAGTGCTGGTTCCCCGCAGCTCGGTTACACGGTTCGTCCCTTGGGTCCTTCTACCTCACGCGCAGGTGACAACACTCACGTCCAACAAACGAGCTATGCCCACCCTCCTCCAAGTGTTGGAGGCAGCCGAAGTGGTCCTGCTACCCCCCTGGAACCACACCACTCCCCTCAATATGCTCAGGGAGCCAGTGCCGCCGCCGCCGCCGCTGGCTCCTCCCCACAACGGGGTTTTTCTCAAGCTCCTGCAAGCAACTGTGCAGGCAGCACAACAAGCTCCCCCCTCCACTTCGGCCATATGCCCCTTCCTCCCAGTAGCCGGTCATTCGGCCGTGAAGATTATTCTCCGGCCCCCCAGGAATCTGACTATGACCCACCTTTCGATGATGGCCCCCTTGCTCATGGTATGGGGGACCTTTGTATGGACGACACAGATTGTCGTGACGAGGAGAATGTGTATAATTTGGACAGCCCGCCCAAATCGAACAAGGCACATGGAAAGAAGCGACAGCTACCTTCCTCTCCCACTCCGTCGCCTCCCAAGGCACCCCCTCCCCGCACCTCCAACCACGACAGTCGCAGCTCATTCAAGTCCCATGTCAATCACATGATCATGCGCGAGAGCACTTCTTCCCCCACCTCTTCATCGAAGGCTTCGTTGCAATGGTCCAATCCGTCCTCCCCTTGGCAGGCATCTCCGACGTCCCAAACGTCGCCCTCCGAGAGACCGAGCAGCAGGGAGTCGGTGAAGAAGCGTCTCCGAACGGAGGTTCAGGAACAAGTTGAGTTGTTGAATGACGACTTAGAGAGTGTGCACTCCGAGAAGCTCGCACTATACCAGCTCAAGAACGAGCGCCTAATGGTCAAGCTCAACGCCAATCGCCAAGACAAGGAGCACCATTTCATACGCGAGGAGCACGCCCACGAGCACGCGGACGCTGCGCTCATCCATCAATGGCTGCAGGAGAGCAAGGACCAGGAGATTCGTTTGCGGGAAGCGGATGCGAAGGCTCTCGAGTTAGAGAGGCAGGTGATGCTCTTGCGCATTGAATATGCCAAGATCAACAAGCCATGATGTTCCTGCGCGCACTTAGTCATATGTTTTTTTTCGCTGTTTCTTTTTGCTACATGTTGTCATTTGTTCGCCGCTATTTGATAATCCTACAACCTACTTACTAGCATGTATGTAGTACATTTGTATGTCAAAGCTATACCTGTTTCAACTTATCCTTGCCTATGCTGAGCATCTGAGTGAGGACTATCAAATAATTGGTCCATCAACCTGGCCCTGTGTGCTTGACCAGGAGTGCCTGCATATGAGCTATCACCCACCACTTCATTACCATCTGGTCCTTCATATTCTGGATGCAGAGTATGTTTCCCTTCTTGAATGGCCCATCTGGTTGTAGGTTTGTTGCGTTTCTCTTCAAATTTGATGATCATGTTGTGAAGGATAAGGCAACACCTAACCCAATGCAGAGTAATCTGGAGGTCTTTCTGGGTCTGCATAGGGTGACGAAGCTCCTTAAGAGACTGAAAACGCCCCTTCAAAGCAGCAAATGTGTGCTCAATGCGGACACGGACCTAGATGAATTAAAATCAATGAAAATCAGTAAAAATTCCAAAAAAATCAGCAGAAAAATTAGAAGATACCCTGGATAGGTGAATATTGAAGATCTTCTGGTCCCTTGTCAACCTGCCATTCCGAGGCTTCTTGAAAGGTGGAATACACCACTTCTCAAGTGGATATGCACTATCAGCCCAAATCCAATGGTCATCAGGAAGAAGTGTGTCGTGTTCCTGGTAAACACAAGTAGATTTGAAGGCATAAGCATCGTGTGTACTTCCAGGGTGACCAAGTGAATAGTCGGCAATGAGGAGATTATGCGGCATAATGATTGCCTGAATTTTTCATTAGTTTCTAACCATTAGAATAAGAGAGAAAAATACCTGACAGTTGAGGGAATAGTTAGACTTCCTGTCATAAAATGCCTCACCATAAAGACCAGGTTTTTCATACAAATTAATAGTGGAGCCATCAATTGCAAAAATACCATTTCTCCACTCTGGGCAAGACTTGGCCTCAACATATTGCTGAGCACGCTCAGCATCCTCAGAGTCAGGAGCAGGGAAATTGATGAATGTGTCATGCTGATCAAGGAGGGCAATCATCACACGGTTACTGCAATTGATTACCAATCCAACACTCACACCAGCCCATTGGCCCACATCATCTGGTGAGATAGCATTGCCATAATGGCCAGCACGGTTGAGAAATATAGCCAGTTGAATGGCAATGGGAAGTTGAGGGTTGTTTGACCGGTTAGTGAAAATAGGGTGATCAGAAATTTGATCGAGGATATCGTCGAAGATGTCAGGATTAATGCATAATTTCTTGCAGAAGAGGTGGTGCCGAGAGTGCCCAAAGTCATGAAGGAGCTGAATCTGGGGGGCTCACATAGGAGGTGCATCCAGTTTATGAAGAACACGGGCCCTAGTGACCTCATCGCGAAGAGCTGTGATGGTATCATGAAGGCGGTTGTAATGGGTAGTGAAGCCGTCAGATCCATCACTGGAAGAAGAATCTGAAAGGTCGGATAATTGTGGGGTAAGAGGAGATGGAGGAGTGACCATTAGATCAAGGCCAAGATCAGAATCAGATTCAGATTCAGATTCAGAGTCAGAGGAGTCGGAATCATAGAGATCATTAAGAGTAATGAGAGTACGCTCTAGCCTGGCCTTGGCTAAGGCTAGTTCAGCCTCATCCAGTTGCTCAAGCAGCTGATTGCACATAGAGAGACGAGGCATCTGGGGATCAGGAGAGAGATAAGCTTATCACCTGCATTAATAGGGGACACTGTTGCCGGAAATGGCAACATTTTCAAGCGGAGATTCAATTTTAGTTGGCGGCTCTTCTGCTCGATGACGAGCACAGCGACAACGCTCTACATGCCTGACATCCACTGCCTGCACCTTCATCTCGCACCCTCGCAGCGCACCCTCGTCGCACGCCATCGTTTGCGCCCCACACCTTCGTCCTGCACCCCTTGTAAGAAAAACTCCACTTCCCTCCCATCTTTAGTACTTCGTTTGGCCCAACTGCTCTACTCTACTCTACCCCCACCTTATCTAACCCCATGAGCTACTGGGAAGGTGTTAGTGGGGGCTGCGCAACTGGTTTTAGAATTTACCATCCCACTATCAAACTTCCCCTAGATGAACTTTTAGGTGAGGAGTACGACGGCGAAGACGACCAAATGGCTGACACCCCCATCGAGCAACTAGACGATACGAACGAGGATGGCAACAGCAACAGTAATAATGTCCCCACCCAACCTGAGGGCGAGTCCCTCCTTGGCGGGTCTGCTTCTGCTGAACAAGACATTCTCATGAGCGATTCTCGTCAGCAGCAGCAACCACAGCCATCTACTCCTGATCTGTTCCTGGTCCCGCAAGTTTCTTCTCACTCTCATATCATGCTCAATCACACCTGTGTACTTGTGGCAAGGACTGTTCCAGCAAGACGCCCACAAACCGTCCCGTACTAACTGTACAAACGTCTGCCACTAAGAAGACTGGTAAAGCTGGACGGCGTGCTTCTGGGAGCATGAAGAGTCCCTCGTCTGCTGCTCCCTCAGCATCTGCTCTCAAGCACTCTGCTTGCTGCGAGCGTGAAACATACTGCAACTGCGACAGTGCCTGCTTCCGCTACCGCAACAAGCCTTAATCCACTTCTCACCTTCGTCCTGC